GGTGGGACCCTACAAGAGCCCTGGTGGGACCCTACAGGATCCCTGGTGGGACCCTACAAGAGCCCTGGTGGGACCCTACAAGAGCCCTGGTGGGACCCTACAAGAGCCCCGGTGGGACCCTACAAGAGCCCCGGTGGGACCCTACAAGAGCCCCGGTGGGACCCCTCAGAGACAAAATGTTTAATGTAGATATATTCAGCCCAAATGTTCTCCTTCTTGATTTGTGTGCGCTGCCAAAGAATTGGAATGTTGCCGGGGGCCCCAGAGCGCCCCCTCCTGGCAGTGAGCGTCCCTCACGCGTGACTCTGTCCTCTCCCGCAGGATCCGGGGCGGCGAGCTGTTTGACTTCATCGCGGAGAAGGAGACCCTGTCGGAGGAGGAGGCCATCGAGTTCCAGGAGCAGATCCTGAAGGGTGTGGCCTACATGCACACCAGGCACATCGCGCACTTTGACCTCAAGGTAACGTCTCTTCGGAGCTCTGCTGCCACCCGCTGGCCGTGTGGTGAACTGCGCCATGACGTGGCGTTAAAGAGGCCCTGTCACCGAGTCACAGAAACAGACAAGTGTCTCCCTTTTCCATTCATTGTTTTCTCATCCGCTCGCAACATTCGTCTCGCTGGACCATTCCAGGAAGAGTCCATTCCTGTGGCCCCGCCCCCCAATCCTCCCCTGCGGGGTCACGGGGAGATACTGGTGACAGGTGCTCTTTAATGCCGTGGTTTAACCCTCCGGCCCCCGTCATTGTCTTCCTTCTTCTGCGCAGCCGGAGAACATTATGCTGCTGGAGAAGGACGTGCCGCACCCCAAGATCAAGATCATCGACTTCGGCCTGGCCCAGAAGATTGACGACGGCACGGTGTACCAGAGCCTGTGCGGGACGCCGCAGTACATCGGTGAGGGGGGCGGTACTCTCAGGGAGCGCGCACCTAGAGCTAAAAAAAAAAAAGCACGCCAGCTGGGGTGAAACTACAAGTCCCATCGTGCCTCTGGGGAGTCATACCTGTCCAGAGTCTTGCAATGCCTCATGGGACTTGTAGTTCCCCCTACAGTTGGAGTGGTGAGGTTGCCCACCCTCATCCATCGGTGGCCATGGTCCGTCCCTTCCCCCGTCTCTACGCTTCTGGTGTATTCTTCATCATGAAACGGAAGTGATGGGGACAGTGAAGCCACTTTATAATTGTGGGAGGAGTCAGGACTTTTGGGGAGGAGCTTGGACCATAAAGGAGTAGCTGGGACCTTCAGGGAGTAGCTGGGACCTTCAGGGAGTAGCTGAGACCTCTGGGGAGGAGCTGGGACCTTCGGGGAGGAGTTGGGACCTATGGGGAGGAGTTGGGACCTTCGGGGAGGAGTTGGGACCTATGGGGAGGAGTTGGGACCTTCGGGGAGGAGTTGGGACCTTCGGGGAGGAGCTGGGACCTTCGGGGAGGAGCTGGGACCTTCGGGGAGGAGCTGGGACCTATGGGGAGGAGCTGGGACCTATGGGGAGGAGCTGGGACCTTTAGGGAGGAGCTGGGACCTTCAGGGAGGAGCTGGGACCTTTAGGGAGGGGTTGGGACCTATAGGGAGGAGCTGGGACCTTCGGGGAGGAGCTGGGACCTATAGGGAGGAGCTGGGACCTATGGGGAGGAGCTGGGACCTATGGGGAGGAGCTGGGACCTCCGGGGAGGAGTTGGGACCTATGGGGAGGAGTTGGGACCTATGGGGAGGAGCTGGGACCTCCGGGGAGGAGCTGGGACCTCCGGGGAGGAGTTGGGACCTATGGGGAGGAGTTGGGACCTCCGGGGAGGAGCTGGGACCTATGGGGAGGAGCTGGGACCTCCGGGGAGGAGCTGGGACCTGTTGGGAAGTGAGAGGAACTGTCTCCCCTCTTCGGTGGTTGTCACTGGCACAAGTGTCCCCGGTGGAAGATTTCCTGTCCCGGTGACACCAATAATGGAACGTCCTGTCAGGAGAATGCGTGTCCTGGTGTCGGGGGAAGGGTGACAATGTTGCATTCCGGACTTGTATGAGATCTTTGTATTAATCGGGCGATTTTTCTTCCACAGCTCCGGAAGTGATAAACTACGAACCTCTGGGGCCCCCGACAGACATGTGGTGAGTGTGACACCCGACTTCCTCTCTGCGTCTTCCGTGGGAAATAAAGAGCGTCCAATCAGGAGGCGGCTGAATGAGATCTGATTGGTCGGTGAGATGTAAACACAGGAAGGGGGGCAGATGTGAGCAGCGTTGTCACCCTGTAACAGGAAGTGACGTCACAGGCACCGCCGTTTGTAAGTTCTCGTCTCTCCTCCCCCGACTGACGCGTTTTACATTTGTATCAAATCGTCTCCCGAATTATTCTAGAAATAGAGTTCAAGGGAGGAGCTGGGACCTTTAGGGAGGAGTTGGGACCTATAGGGAGGAGCTGGGACCTTCGGGGAGGAGCTGGGACCTATAGGGAGGAGCTGGGACCTATGGGGAGGAGCTGGGACCTATGGGGAGGAGCTGGGACCTCCGGGGAGGAGTTGGGACCTATGGGGAGGAGTTGGGACCTATGGGGAGGAGCTGGGACCTCCGGGGAGGAGCTGGGACCTCCGGGGAGGAGTTGGGACCTATGGGGAGGAGTTGGGACCTATGGGGAGGAGCTGGGACCTCCGGGGAGGAGCTGGGACCTCCGGGGAGGAGTTGGGACCTATGGGGAGGAGTTGGGACCTCCGGGGAGGAGCTGGGACCTATGGGGAGGAGCTGGGACCTCCGGGGAGGAGCTGGGACCTGTTGGGAAGTGAGAGGAACTGTCTCCCCTCTTCGGTGGTTGTCACTGGCACAAGTGTCCCCGGTGGAAGATTTCCTGTCCCGGTGACACCAATAATGGAACGTCCTGTCAGGAGAATGCGTGTCCTGGTGTCGGGGGAAGGGTGACAATGTTGCATTCCGGACTTGTATGAGATCTTTGTATTAATCGGGCGATTTTTCTTCCACAGCTCCGGAAGTGATAAACTACGAACCTCTGGGGCCCCCGACAGACATGTGGTGAGTGTGACACCCGACTTCCTCTCTGCGTCTTCCGTGGGAAATAAAGAGCGTCCAATCAGGAGGCGGCTGAATGAGATCTGATTGGTCGGTGAGATGTAAACACAGGAAGGGGGGCAGATGTGAGCAGCGTTGTCACCCTGTAACAGGAAGTGACGTCACAGGCACCGCCGTTTGTAAGTTCTCGTCTCTCCTCCCCCGACTGACGCGTTTTACATTTGTATCAAATCGTCTCCCGAATTATTCTAGAAATAGAGTTCAGTCTCTGACCCTCCCGAACGGACCAATCGGATCGCATTCCCTGACCCCGAACTCCTAAAAATCCCTCCGAGTCCCCGAACCGGACTCGGCCCTTATAGGCGTGACCCGGCTGGAGGTCCTCCAATCATCTCTGACACTGTCCTTCCTTCTGGAGGGGGGCTACGTCTGTTCCCCATGGTCCCCGTGTGTGTTGTAGAGTAGTCACCGCCCCAAGCTCCACCATACATAGCCCCCCTCCAGAAGGAAGGACGGTGTCAGAGATGATTGGAGGACCTCCAGCCGGGTGACAACACATCAGATACATTGTTGCTTTTTAGGATACAACTCCGGAGTTTAGTGTCGCTGTGATAATCGGGTTTCCTGTATCCGGTCTCTGGCGCCACCCTGTGGCTGTAATATGTATCGCATGCAAAGTTTTCCATCTGTTCTGCTTCCTTCAGTTATCATGCGTCACATTCACCCGCCGGACGTCCCTAATTCCGGGTGAATGTGACCGGCATGGAGAGGTCCGGGTGAATGTGACCGGCATGGAGAGGTCCGGGTGAATGTGACCGGCATGGAGAGGTCCGGGTGAATGTGACCGGCACTCATCTTTTGTCTTTTTTCCCCCCTCAGGAGTATCGGGGTCATCACCTACATCCTGTGAGTATCACTGAAACACCATTTGTAACAAAAGCCGACCCCCACTTCCTGTCCTGGTGACACTGTCAGATATTGGATCGGCCCCCACTTCCTGTCCTGGTGACACTGTCATGGAAGTACATGAGCGCAAGGAACCATGTTGGGAGATGGACGCAGCGTTGTCACCCTACAACAGGAAGTGACTTTATAAATCTTATGACTCAGTTTCCGCTCCCATTCACATGCTTGGTGCCGGTATCTGGCCCTCTCTGGCGCCATCCTGTGGCCGTGATATACATTGCACGCACAGTTTATGACTCCCGACGTCTCTCTCCCCTTCCAGCCTCAGCGGAATGTCGCCGTTCCAGGGGGAGACCGACGCCGAGACGCTGACCAACGTGGTCGCCGGGAACTACGAATTCGACGACCGATTCTTCAAAGAGACCAGCGAGATGGCCAAAGACTTCATCCGGCAGCTGCTGCTCAAAGACCCCAGGTCTGTCCCCTGGGCGCCGCCCATCGGGCCCCGCTCCGGTCACGGCAGGGGCCCCCAGCACAGGCTGATATATGGCCGGGCCCCACTACATCAGCACACCCCCCTACCCTCCCCC